TTTACGCTGCGATCGTAGTTGTTATTTATAACTATCACAAAATGCTTTTATAAATGAAAGTTTCCTAGTCTGTTGTCGTAGTTTATTTATCAGTATTTCATCATGTCATGATTAGATATTCATTTCCGCTATTATCCTGATCACATGTTTATATTTCGCTGTTCAATTAAATTGTTATAACTCTGATAATATGATTTCATTCCACTGTTATATTAATAAATATTAGACTCTGATGTTGTATTAAAAGTGATGTAAGAAATTGTTATGAATAATGGAAGCTTTAGTCTCATTTGTGATCCTGATGGCAAAAATATGGATTTTCGGGTTCTCCTCCTGGGGTGTGCCCGACGGAACCGAGTAATTTAGTATTCTCCCTCGAGTGCTTAGTGTCTAATGGAAGACAAGCACTCCTGTGAGGCATTATATTAGACGGTTCTGCCATAATGGAATATACTTAAAGACTTAGTCTTAGATAGGAGTGCTTGGAAAACAGCTATTCACGTGCCTGAACCTTGATTGCTTCTGCTGGGTTTCAACTCTAGCGTATCCCAATTTGTTTGGGACTTAAAGGCTTTGTTGTTGTTGTTGTTATTGTGTCTAATTCTTTAAGGCAGTATCAATGTTTATACTGATCATTGCAGCAAAGCAGCTGCTGCCGTGGCTGCAAAACTCCTCAGCGGGCACTGTAGCAGCGCAGTAGATGACTGCTGCAGCGGCTGTTTTATGGTGTCTACTATTTTGGGTCCTAATATAATGTATCTGCAAATACAGTTTCGTCTTTATTTTGTCTCTGCAGACTGCAGTCATGTGCCATTAATTGCATCTCTATAGAGTAGGTCTACCAACTGATGTTGAATAACTTTGTTATTACTGCACAAGATCTCTGTTTCGCAATCATAAGGAAAGTCCAAAAATACGTATCGAAAACATATATCTGCTTCAATGTTTTGGTGTTAGTTCATTGCACATCTACGTATTTAAGTTACTACTAGTACTACTTTGTCATCAGATAGTTTTTTTTATGGTCACCTCGCACCCCACCTGAATTTTTGTATTGACTGAATGGTGCCTTTGGCACTGAGTTACAGAAATCTTTACATCTTTTGATCTTCAAGTGATCAGTTTCTTATATTGCAGCTCTGAAAACACCTACCCATACATCAGCAAGGTTCCTGTCCTTCCTAGGTAGCCTAAGCTTCCATAGATTTGCATCAGAGATACAGGCTGGAAACGTGCATCAGAGATACAGGCTGGAAACGTCTTTTGGAGACTAGTAGTTTCAGACCTGAAGATGACTCCATTTCTACGCTTCCAAAGCTGCCAAGAGCATAGAGCAACAAATGTGTTTAAATGTTTTTCAGGAAGGTTAGATGGGCAACAAATGTTGTGGATGTCGCCCAGCCTGCCAGAGGAAAGAATGGGAGTAGAAAAGCCGATTGCAGACCAGAAATCCTTTGCAAAAGGGCACCCATTGACCACATGTTCCGCTGTCTCCTCCTGATTATTTGTCATCAGATAGTCAGTCGCAGCGGGGGCTTTGGAAGAAAACACTGATGATAGAAAAAACTACGTGCACGTCTCAAGCTGCATCCTGGTAAGATCGCTGCCGGTGCCGACGTCGAACCACGTGGAAGCCTCACGCCGTACACACGGGTGAGGGAGCTGTTGAGCAACATTAGTAGTGATGCTGCAACGATCATTGTGTGTTCAAGCGTAGTGGTATCATTTGGCGGTGCAAATCTATTTGTGTAACGTCTCCAGATCCGTTTTCTTTTACGATAACGCGGGCGACCGTACGTTTGGACACCGCGTGCCACACTTCGCCTCGCTGCTTCCGCCTATGACGCACGCCTTGCCCATGACAGTTGCTCCTTCCCGTTGCTCGCCCTGCCCGTCGCACGCTTGGTCTGCGCGGAGTTGACCCCACGTCGCGCAGCCCTGCTACCGTGGCCATCCCTCACCGTGACCCCATCCCGCGTGCCGCCTTTGCTCTTCCCATCTCTCACTCTCTATCTCATGTCCGCTGACAGCAGAGCGCCTCCCGGCCTCTCTTCCCCAAACCCCAACGCTACCGGGATGCCTCGCCGTCGCTGCCCTTGCTGATGGTCGCCAGGTCGTCCTTGGCCGAGCCTAGGGCACCCACGAGAGCAACCAGATGCTAGTGGTGGTTGTGCGCCGCTGCTTGCCGCCAGCTCCACCCCGACGGCCGGATTGACCGCCCAGGCCTCCCCTCTCCTATGTTATAAATGCATGTTTCAAGTCTTTCAAACGTTTCATAGATATGTTGTAATTGTTTTTTATGTATGTTGCGAAAATAGACCACATGTTGCATATGTTGTAAGTGTTTCAAAGGAATGTTGCAAGCATTTGTTCAAAATGTTTCATCTGTTCTAGACGTATGTTAGAAGCGTTCTGATCTGAATGTTGCATATGTTTCACACATTTGCTGCAACAGTATGTTTTAAATGTTTCACTATTTCAGTCTTATGTTGCAGTAAGTGTTTTCATGTTGCAAGTGTTTAATCTGGATGTTGCATATGTTTCACACATATGTTACATGCGTATGTTCTAAATGTTTCATCTCTTTCAGATGTATGTTTCATTCAAGTGTTTTCATATTGCAAGTGCTTAATGTTTTGGAGATACATTCAGAGAGTCATGGGGGCACAGCTCGGGCGCTAGGAGATGTGCCGCAGCGAGCGGGGGCCCGCAGAAGGGGCACGTGGCGTGCCGTGGGCTACGGACGGGGCGGGCTGGGGGCCGGCACGTGCCACGCTTGTGGATGGTCGTGCTGTGGGAAAGTGAGCAGCGCGCTGTGGGAAGGCTAGGGCAAGTCGCCCATATCAGATAGGCTCCTATAGATCGTATCGTATGGTTGGAGAGCTGCGTCCTGACACGTTGCTGGGGCCGGATGTCGGGGCGCTAACGCCTCCCTTTCGTTTATAAAAAGAAAATAATACTAGCTGAAAAACTTAAAAAAGAGGAAAGGAGGGAAGGGATGGACTTTGGTTCAAGATAGTTTTAAAAGGCTTTAGATTTCAAACCTAAGCTAGTTTTAAACGTTTCACGTTTAATTTAAATTTTGGTGTGTTTTGAATTTCTTTTATCATCAATCAAAACAGACATAGAAGTTTCAATTGTAATCCTTTATTTAAAATTCTTAACTCTTTGGAAATTTTCTCTTACTTTGTATTTTGATAACTTTGGAACATTAGGAAAAATTTTGAAGGATTTTGTCAAATTTGGCTGCTATTTAAACAACCTATATGGCTATATTTCAATACCTGTTTATGTTCCTAGCAAATTTTACAATTATAGTTCTGATTAATTTACCAAAGCATATTTCCTAATCATGTTACATTTTCAATTTCATAGAAAGATATATATCATTATTTTAAATTAACTTCTGCTTCAAAACTCTTAAAATAAATAATAGGAATGTTGGATTTTTATTACTTAACATTTGTAAAAGATGGAAATTTTACGAAAACTTTAGCACTTCTCCTATATTTCACGTGTCTGAACTTTAAGATGATTTTAGGCAACACTCTTGTACCACCAACTAGTAAAATAAGTTTTGTTACTTTTGTGATTTGTTAGTTATCTTTGTGTCATAACATATCAATTTTTTGGCCTTGTCTAACTATAGAATCAATTGTAAATTGTTAAATTATCTTTGTGCCAACACATATCAGATTTTGTCAGGTTTGTGGTTTTATTTAATGGATTTTTTATCCCGAGAACCAAAATGGCAGATTGTGCATACAGAAATTGCGGCAAACTAAAGCTATAATTTTAGTATAAAATATATGTAATAACAATCGCCAAAAAGGGATTTTAGCAAATCCCGTATTGTTGCATTTGCAGCTTTGTCTTATATACAGTGTGACCTGATACATGGTCGATGAAAATACATCCGAGCCAGTTAGCACACCAGATCATAGGATAATGAGCACATCATTTCAGGCCAAATCAAAATACTAATTATTCACTCCAAAATATGCAGGCATACGCAAAATACAAAATTTGACAATGTATGTATATAATTCAGCATTCGTCACAAATGAAGGGGCCGTAGGTTCATGCAGCCAAAAGGCCGCTGCAGTTTACGCTTTGCGCAAAGGCACTGGCAGGGAATGACCGGACGATGGAATTCTCTAGGTGAAAGTTGAGCAGGTTACCAGCGCGGTTGACCTGGTTGAACCCACGCAACGCAAACTCCACTAGAATCTTGGCACCGGACAAGCGGCTGAGGGATCCAGACTTGATGGTGCCGCTGACGCTGCTATCAAACCGAAATTTGATTTTGTTTTCAGCGAACGTGACAAAGAAGTTGCACTCGCCGGGGAGGGTCACCTCGAAAGCGCCACCAGCGTTGAGCTCGTAGGACTGTATGCCGAGCGGAAAAAGACCCTGTGGCAAGTTGTTCTGCTCGAGGACATCATAAGCCGTCGTGACCGCATATCGAGGCAACTTGGTCGTGGTGATTGCTGTGGAGGAGACGCCTTGGAGGATGGAAGCAGCCATGAGGGTAATGGCAACGAGGACATGCTGCTGGCAGTGGCCCATGACTGCTATGTTTTTTGTGTTTTAGCCTTGCGGACATGGTCGCTCCTTCCAAATTTATATAGTCGCTCCACCCCATGCCGTAAGAATCAGGTTTTCATTGCATTTATTTTAGCATAACGGGCAGCCAATAAAACGCTCATCAAATTAAAATGGAATTATATTAATCCAAATGTTCTGTCTTCCATTAATTTCTTCCCAAGCAATCCAATTAACTAAAAATCAAATTGAATTGAAAAATGAATACAGACATTTCGTCTACCATTTTTGTACTGATAGTGGACCCAGACCAACCAAGTTAAATATTAATTAAATAGCATTGATTTTTTTGAATTAACTTTTCCATTGAAACATCCATTAAAAATTGATAGAGCAATACTTCGGCACTGCATTCATGTCGGCTCCGACCGATCCTACCACCCGATCTTCAGCTCTCAATTCTCCGTCCCGTCCCTGCCCTTCCATCTCCTGCCACCACCACCACCGGCGCCGGCCGCCTTCACCTGCCTGGTGGCGGCGTACAGCTCCGACACCAGCTGGTAGCGCTTCCTGGCCCTCCGGTCCAGGAGCCCCCGGCCCGTGGCGTCCTCATCATCCTCGTCCTCGGCGTTGTTCACCGAGCGGGCCAACGATGAGCAGCACTGGTCCTCCTCGTCCCCACCGTCGCCTCTGCTGAGGCTGAGCTGCACCAGCTGGTCCGCCACCGTGAGGTTGTCCGCCGCAAACTCCCTGCCACCAGATGTCGCTGACCCGGCGCCAACGATGACGGCATGAACGGCGCGGAAGCCGGTAGCAACGGCCTAGTGGTCTCCACCTCCATCGCCGCCGTTTGTTTCTTCTTGCACCTCACACCGCTGGATCTGCGCTTGCCGGATCCGCCGCGTGCGGATGAGTGATACTACTAGAAATATCCATAACGAAAATCTTAATGACGAATCCGAAACCGTCATAAAAAATCGCTTTTTATGACGAATATTTTGGTTTCGCCATAGATCATCGGTGACGATCCTCGAACCCCCCTTATCTATGATGAAATCGGATATCATCACAAAAAACGTCATAGAACAGCATATGGTTTCATCATAGATTACTCGTGCGACTGTTCCTGCTCATCTGTGACGATCTTATTTCAAACTATGATGACTAAGGCTTCGTCATTGAACTAATTACACATATGTGACGAACAATATTCGATCTGTGACGAACGACACTTCGTCATAAATCTCCACACGGTCCTTTCTTCATCCGACGTGTACATGTGGAACCTGCACTTACTCATCCGTGACGTTGGCAATTCATTATAAAAGTCTCCACTCGGTCCTTTTTTGTCATAAAAGTCTCCGCTCGGTCCTTTCCCAATCCGACGTGTACCTGTGGGACTCTTCTCCATCTAACCTGTGGGACCCCTATGGGATCCAACAGCTTGCGTGTCACGTGTACCTGTGGGACCTCTCTCCATCTCCATCTGACCTGTAGGACTTGATGGCTTTCGTGTCACTTGTGGACCCTTCTCTATCCGACCTTTAGGACCTGATGACTTACGTGTCACGTGTACCTGTGGGATCTTTCTTCATCTCTATCTGACCTATGGGACCTGATGGCTTGCGTGTTACTTATTGCCGCCGGGGTTTAATAAGTTCAAACTCAAAAAAAACCATGAGACCTAGGAGTCAAACCCAGAACCCAGAGCAAGGAATAGACCGTCTTCACCATTACGATAGATGCCTGGTTGTGTTGACATATCTTTGGAGTCCTCATAGTAGTATATGTTCTCTGTGTGGACAGGTTGACTTATATATTAGATATATCCCCTGCAAGTGGAAACAAATCTGTGCCCATTGGATTTGCGGCGACGGCGGTGGCAGCGAAGGATCCCTGGTGTGCTGCTATGGTGGCTCAGGCGTCCTTTTGGAGGCTAGGCGGCGGGTCTTCCCGGTGGAGCGCGGCGGCATTGGTGTCCGTGTCCGTCGTGTGCCACGGCAGAGGCGACAGATTTGATCCGCAGGTCTTCTTTCTCGCCTTTTCCTGTCCACTTCACGGTTTTAGTCCTTGCTTGAACATGAGGTATACAAGAAACATTGTAGCGTTGCAGATCTGGTTAGCCCAAAACTGAGGAAAAGAACTAGGAGGTGGCACTAGTTGGTTTTCTGCTGGTGTCTTGGTTTCTGCATATGTTTAGTGTCCTTACTATAAATGCCTGTGTGCAACTAGGCCTGTTAATTGTGAAGTGCTTGCTTGATTATACCTATCTATCTAGGCAAACATACAGGCCCTTCGCTTCTGCCTTAAACTATTTTTTCTATCCAGTGCTTGATTGATTCTACATTTATGTTTCGTATGCTCCAGTGTCACCAGTGTGTTCTTATGGTATTTTGAACTTGTAACATATCTGAGGCCACATTACTGTGCCAATGATGTCTACATGGATATTGGATGTATTAGGATGCAGCTCATATGTTTGTTTTATGTGTCTTCTCCTTGTTAACAACCAAGTTATCCATTTGGGTCCAAACAAGAGGAAGGCATCGAAACCAAATCAATGCTTTGTGTCCATCATTCACATGACGGAGGCCACTAATGTTTAAGCTGCACATGTTGCTACTGATGCCAATGATGATCACTACCACTTGTTCACTGATATTCTACTTGTGAAAACTGAGGCAGTCTGTTTGGGTTGTGCAGATTTGAGATGAGTCATCCCTGCTATGTTGAGTTCAATGGCCATGAGCCAGGAGTTTACTACAACTAGCCTAACTGCAAGGAACAAGTTCATAGGTTTCGTGGTGCTTGTTATAAAAAGTACAACTCCTATGAAGAAGAAATTGTTGCCTTCATGTCAAGAACCAACTCAAATCCACCCTTAGCTCATGATGATGTCTTCTATCTTCAAAACCCAACAGCTACTCCACCCTATTTGTCCTTCAAAACTGTTGTAATTATAGTTCTCTTAATCTTTGTCTGTCTCCTATGGAAGAAGCTCTGAGCTCATGTACTGATTCTAAGTGTGATGGTTAGACTTGATTTAGCTGGAATTGTAATGGTTACTGCTCCATTAACTTCTACTCTAGTTTGAGTTATATATATCTATGTGGTGCTACTCTAAATTTAGATAAGGTCATACCATGAAAATTGTTAATGGTTGTTAAAGCTGTAGTTTAGTATGAGTGGTGGACTTCACTGATGGATCTTTATTGGATTATTTTCCTCCTCAGTAATCTCATTACTGAGCAAGCTCTCATCCTACTGCATGCACACTGACAAAACGGAGGAGGCCCCCAAGAAGAGGAATGCACTGGCGAGCCTCATGGATGATGTCTTTGTCGAGATCCTCCGCTGCGCTGCCTCTCCACCCACTCCTTGTTCTGCTGCAAATGTGTTTGTCTCTCTTGGAAATGTCTCATCTCGGACAACCATAAATTGATGCCCCAGACTGTGGCCGACTTCTTCTATGATGGAATCTATGGCCAACGAAACATTAGCACATCACTGATCTTTACCCCTCCTTGTCCTTCTTGCCCTTTGCCATGAACAATGTAGCTGTCTTAGATTGCTGCAACAGCCTCATCCTATGCTAGTGCCTTGAGGATGATGGATACCGCTATGGCGCTATAATCCGACAATGTAGAAGTTGAAGGTACTGCCGCCTAGAATCCATTCTATTGGTGAGGCTCGATTGGGGTTTGATCCGACAGCCTCATCGCACTTTCATGTGCTTGAATATATGGAGGAGGATGGTCAGTGTGTGGGTGTGGACATCTGCTCATCTAAAACTGCAGCATGGATCTTTTAGTAATCTAAATGGGGGCGAGGTGGCTGAGTTGATATTTCCAAAATTAGCAACTATGTTTCTTAACGGTTGTCTACACTATATTGGGTTCTGCGAGGGTTACCGTCGTATACATGCTGTTGATATGGAGGGAAAGACATGGAGGAAAATTCCTAACAGGCCGCGTGGTTTTTCATGCTCCATCCATCAAGCTTAGGGTCACTTGTGTCAATGTACTGTTGGCGGTCACAATATGTCTAAGCTTTTAATCTGGATCCTTAAAGACTATGGTACTAATAATAAATGGACATTGAAGCATACTATCTCCTGCGTAAGTTATTTGGAAAGACTAAGAAACAAATGGGTTACTTTGATTTTGAGTCATGCTACACAACGGTTATAGTTCACCCAGAATGGAATTTGGTTTTCTTTGTTGGGGTTAGGGTGGAAAGAGCCGTCATCGCATATAACATGGACAACAGAAAAGGTCATGTCATCCCTACATATTACATTCCATATGGAAGACATGACATCCTACCAGAAATCATCGGGAGACCTTACTATCTTCCCTATGTTTCCTTGTTCTCGAAGTTGGAGTCATTAGCAATGTAGTAAATAATGCTGCATTTGATGTATCTATATGTCATGACATTTAAATGGATCAATGTTGTTTGATTGTCTATGGACATGTTAATTTCCTCTTGGATGGATGTTGTCATTATTTTCCAGCAACTTTAACTTGTTTGTAATATAAGCTAAGGTCTATGTAGTGTGTTAGACGTGTTCAAGCCTACAGAGGTCGGACTTTCTTGCGTGTGCAGTAACATTTCAACACCAATGGCTCCTCTTTGTTCCAAAAAAACACCAAATCACCAATGGTTCCTCTGTGTAGTGATATATTAGCTGCCACGATCTCTTTCGCAACTCTGCTTGTTTTTCTTCCTTCCCCGAGCCCTCCCATTCCCACTACAGATCTAAAATCGTTAGGAACGTGTGGTTGCCTTCTCTAAACCTATTTCACTCTTAGCCACTACCATGGTGAAGGGCGAGCCTTCTACGAAGCGCGCATGGGAGGGGGATGACATCGTTCTCGTGGTGAAGAAGGATGATGCCATGCCTGTGGTGAAGGAGGATGACGCCATGCCCGTGGTGAATCAAGATGAAGCTCTAGTGGATCCCTTTGGAGATAGAGACGATTAGGCTGTTGGCATCATGAGTAAGGCTTTCTACAAGATCAAGAGTGTGGTAGAAAATATCAATCTGGGCACCCACACTCTGCCTCAAGTTGAAAAGGTGAGCAGTTACATCTTCATTTTTCACCAACTCGCTGTTGTCCTAGAAGAACTGCCAGCCTACCTGAACAAGAATCACGCAGACAATGTAGAGTACATCCTCACCTGCTACCGGAGCCAGATAGATGGCTTCGACACTACCACCGTGACTCAGGGAAGCAGCACCGCCCACAACACTGAGAAGCACTAGCACAACCTGGTTCATGCCGATGTTGAGCAGGTGGCAAACTGCATCACCATTGATGAGCAGAAGGGCCTGATAGCTATAGAGGAGGACAATAATGATGTTGATACCAACGACAAGGACGAGGACGAGGATAGTGATACCGACGACGAGTAAAGGAGTAAATAAAGTTACATTTGATGTATCTCACGTTGCATTTGATCTATCTTCCTTATGTTGGGAGTATAGAGGGAGTGCATGTTTTGATTTGTGAAGTCTTATTTGGTTATTGGGTAGATCTTCCCTTGCATTCTTCCTTATGTATCTTATTGTGTTTACTTTTGTTGAACTTTGTATTAGGTGGGTTAAACTCTATTGAGCATGGTGTAGATTAGGTCCTTTGGTCATTTTGTAGCCAGTTTCTAGCCCCTGTTAGTTGGTCTTGCCTACAGGTTTCTTTCTGGTACTCTTTCTAATCTGTAGTATGGTAAACATGCATAATGGAATTCATCCGATCAAGTCTCGCATCGATGTAATGCCTAATGGAGGAGCCACATAGCAATTCAAATTTTACAGCACACGCAAGAAAGTTCGAGCAT